TTAATGCTTGGTCACCAGCATGTGCTGCTATTGGGGAGATGGTGGAATTTTTAGGAGGTGGGACCTAGTGGAAGAAAGTTAGGACATTGAAGATATGACACTGAASAGGTTGTTGGTACCTTGTTTTGCCTCTTCTTCTCTCAGTTTCCTCTTCCACACACACTACCATGATGCACTGCCTCATCACATGCCCCAAAACAATGAGGTCAAATGACTGTAGACTGAAACCTCAAAACTATGAGTCAAAATAAACCTTTTCTCCTTTTAAATTGTTGCCTCGGGTATTTTTATTATAGTAGCAGAAAGCTGACTATGAAACCAAAACTCTTCTAGAACAAATTTGCATTTTCCTACTTTTTTAAGTCTACTAAAAAACAAATAAGTTTTTTCTTCTGTTTTTCTGTGCTCAACAAGGCTAACCACTTACTATATTGGAAATTAGATGAGAGCACATCATGATCAAATCTATACTACTCCCTGTCTACTGAGATATATTATAGATATACAATGATATATGGATTGATAGAAGGGTGGATGGATGGATAGATAGATAGATAGATAATTATATAGAAACAAATACATAATCCCAAGACATTCTCTAACCAGAATAGCATAATTACTCTTGGATTTTATCACATGTACTTTAAACAGATTGATTAGTTTCATATGTAACAAAAATAATGCCAGGTACTAGCAAGTGTTCTAACATTTCTTGTTAATGACTTTTTTAAATGTTAAAATGAATGATTTGCCAATAAATTTTTGTATAATCACAATTTGTAATAGTATACATGTCCAATACATGTTTTTAAATCTCTACTCTAAAGTTGCTAATAATCTTTTTCAAATAGCTGGCAACAAATTAAAAAAGATAAATATTTAAAGTACATTTGAAATAGGTAAAGGTTAATATGAAATTATCAATTCAATGTTATACTGACATTTTCACCAAAGAATATATCAAGTAGTGAATAAGAATACACACACACACACACACACACACACACACACATATACATATACATATATACATTTCCACTTGAAGAGATATGCTCCAAATTTACTTCTGTAAAAACTTGCCATCACTGATAAATGGGCATTCTTTATGCAAATAATGAATTCATTAAATATATAAAAATACTATTTTTTACTTGATTCATTTGTATTTTTCTCCTTAAGTTATATTATCTGTTTTACATTTTTCATCTCATTTTTTCCTATCATATTCATGGATTTTAGCTTCGAGCTCAGATTGATATTTCACATTTTAAGATTTTCATGTTCTGATTGAGTTTCAAGAACAAAGATGGACTATATGTTAGATTCAATAAGTACGAGGTACAAAAAGGAAGATAAGGGGAAAGAAAATGGAGTCAGCATCCAATTGTCTAATCAATGAAAATATCTATATTTATTTAGGCAAAAATATTTTTCCTGATTCTTTTTCCATTTCTCATAAAACTGTTTCGTTCTGTCAGGGCTCTCTATAGGAATGCCCATTGTCTTCTGTGCTGAGCATATTTCATGAATACAAACATTTAATTCTTTAAGTTTTACTGTCTGAATCAGTCTTCCATTGCAAATAACTAAAAACAGAACATAAATGGACAGTTCAATGGATTTGGCTTCAGATAAGTCTTTATTTAAGGATCAAATGCTATGGACAAGAGTCTCTCTCTGCCCAATCCCCTGCCCCTCCCCACCCTTCCTGTTGACTCMATTTTGGAGTAAAATGCACTCTCATGGTTCCAAGACATATACTAGAGATATATGCTTTCTTGTTCACTTCTAGTATAAAATGAGTCATTGCTCAAAGTTAAAAAATCACATCTTGGTCTTGTTTTGCCAGATTGGATCATGGTTCGATTGTCACAATATCATTAATGTGATAAGCCAATGGGCTTGAGCCAGTCAGGATCTATTCCCAGAGTCTAGAATTCTACCAAACCTACTCATAACATATCATTTAAAGTGTTAAGAAAAAAGGTAAAAAATTCTACTACATTTTTGACTGCAGTTTATAGAATTCTGATTTGATATAGATAGTTAAATAAGTATGATAAATAGTTGATTTGCACATTTATTTTTAATGTACTATAGCTGAACCTGAGTAGTGAAGATTTTCTAACCCTAAAGTTCAGGGATATACGTATAGATTTTAACAACAAGATATAATATGCCTTTATTATCCTATGTGTATACGTGATTATATGACCCATGTAACTCTACATCAGGTACAAACAGGAGAGTGAGAAGTTATACTCATTTATGTGTAATGTATCAAAATGCATTCTACTGGCATGTATAACTGATTTGAACAAATACAAAAAAATGCCTGACATTATTTTTTTAATTCATAAACAATAAGCACAGTTCTAGTTGCTTAAAAGTCCAGCACCTCAGTGTGTTTTATAGATGATTATCAGAAAAACTTAAACATTAATAATTTTGGATATATGATGAGTGTTACTGTCCAAAACATCAGGGTAAAGGGGGTAATTACAGTATATTTAAGATTAGTTTATGTCTAACCTCCTACTCAGACTGCTTAATCAAGATTTAAGAAATATAAGCATAATTCTCTATTTTAAAAAATGAAGCTATTGGGGGCTGGGGATGTGGCTCAAGTGGTAGCGCACTCGCCTGGCATGTGCGCTGCCCGGGTTCGATCCTCAGCACCACATACCAACAAAGATGTTGTGTCCGCCGAGAACTAAAAAATAAAATGTTAAGGATTCTCTTTCTCTCTCTCTCTCTCTCTCTCTCTCTCTCTCTCTCTCTCTCTCCTCTCTCACTCTCTCTTTAAAAAAAAATGAAGCTACATTATAACATTAAATATCTTTTTATGATTGAAATATATGTCTGGATTTTTCTAAAAAACAATAATAATTACTATATCCATAAAAAAGTTGTTGTGGCATAATTTCATAGAAATCAGGCCTCTCTCATTGCATCTTTAACACTGGATTTGTAAGCAGGTTTTAGCATATATCTCAACTTTGTTTATCAGCATCATACATGTTGTTAATTTATTATAGAGATATATATGGAGACAGAATCATTTTGTTTTGCTAAGACATTATTTGCACAATGAGAAGGAACTTAATATATTTTCTCAATAAGGAAAAGATTTGCCAATTCTCCTAATATTTTATAGCATACAAAATTGGTGAGGCATATATCATTGCCACGACATGCAACTAAATCATTCRGGGTCACTCCAGGTGCATTTGGATTGGTACAAAATAATCACACACAAAGACAAAGAAAATACCTTTTTCTCTGGGTCCAGAGAAAATGAGCAATGACTCATTTTATACTAGAAGTCTACATCACTATTATTATTGTCTACTTTGCTCAATTAATAAGGAGTTAATAAGGAAAGAGAGCGAGTCACCTGAAATCTTTATTTTTATAGCAGGGGACACAGAGGGAGGATCAATAGAATGTTCTTTTCAAATAAGGCAAAGGGGCAGGTTTCAGGGGCTTGAGTCTAGCTTAGTGATGTCAGTAGATTGATTGACATCTTCACAAGTCACACCCATCTCAGGTGCTGTGTAGAAATACAGGCAGAGCGGGAGAAAAGTACACACATGTGTTACATGGCCCAAAGAGCACTCAACATCAGGCCAGTCCTCCCATATGCTCAGATGTTCATAGTTCACATACACAGCCCATGCCTGGCCCTCGACATATCATAATTTGATTCTCACTACAACGTGGAATGACACAGAGGGTTTGCTACCCTTCTGTAAATGAAAGAAGTACTTCTAGTTGGGAGGTGAGTTTGGGCCAGCAATGGTACTAATGCAGGAACTGAACACAGTGACTGGAATTCATTGGGAGTTCAAATCTGTAATGACTTAACTAATGAAGTCAGAGCCTAAATCTAGTTCTTTACAAGTTCAGATCTTTTTTTATGATTTAACTATTATTGTGTTGTTGCTCACATATTTTAACAAAGCATGTGATCAGTTTCTGCAGCTCTCAATAGATGACAGATAAAAAAGTCAAAACAAAACATAAATCTTCCCAGAAAACTCCTTTGAGGGCATAGGCTTATTATTGTTGTCATTATTATTATTATTGTCTACTTTGCTCAATTAATAAGGAGTTGAGGAGGTTCTTGGTCTATAGAACGTTGAAAAGTATATGCCTCTAACAGAAAGCCATCCTGAATGTATTCAGATTTTTTCAAAAAGCTTCTTCAAAACATTTTTAATGCTTTTGTTATCGAGAGAAAACCAGGTGAGCTAAAACACAGCCAGCTGTGCTTTCAGAGGTGAACACATACACACACACAACAAAAAAATAAATTAAATAAAACGCCAGCTCTTAAGTAATAGTTAACAGCAACTAGAGACAAACCTGACAATATGTAAAGAGAATCTCTTCTTTGAACTCTAATGCTCAAGTTGGAGGCAGAAACAAGATACAGCCCCTGGCTTTCATCCTACCATAGGTAGCTTAACTACTCTGGTTTGATCCTGTGTGGCCCAMCAAGGCCTGACAAACAGCACTGCTGTACCAGAAGCATCTCTAGGGCGATGATGCGTATAGACAGAGGGATTTTTTAGTCAATTGCAGGAATTAGGCTTTAATGCTTTATACTAAAAGACTTCATACCCCAGATAGCTGCCTGCTATCCACTGAATCTTGGCAGGCAGTGAGACTGCTGAAGCAGAAATGGGGAAGCTATGTTAAGCAGATTTTCACGCATGTACAAAATGCTTTATTTTGTAAAGCTACTTTTCTTTGTAGCAGTTCAAAATGCTTTTTTCTTTTTTTAAACCTCTGAGTTTGGTCCACTCTTAGTGTTTACCAAAATTACTTTTTTAAAAATGTCTCTATAGAGCACAGAGCAGATAAATGTCCCCTTCATCAAAAGTCAATGTTTTGGAAAGAAGAATCCTAAACATGTCAATTAAAGAGATTTTTTTTAAATGATCATAGTTCTTTCAAAAATGACAAGACACACAGAAGGATATTAAATACTTTACCATTGTTTGGAAGCTCGAGAGGGCTACAGATGTTGCTTTTGCTTCTCGTTATTGGAGAAGAGATCAGTTTTGCCACAAGGGATGCAGAAATGGGCTGCACCAACAGGGAGGTGAGGTTTGACTGGTTTTGTCTGAAGCTTCCATCTGTATTCAGAAGAGGAAGGAACATTGTCCTTAGTAAACAGATATTAAAAATAATCAAGGAGAAGTTCTTTGTAATAAGTATGTAAATCATGAGCAGTAAGTTTATATTTGTTCATTTGTTTATTTACTCCTTAGTTACACCGTGTCTACTTATTAAAAATGATTTGAGATACTTCATAAGAATCTAGTCCAATTACAATTATGTATCCTATTAAAGATGGCAGATTGTACACATACACTTACCTCCATTGTCCCATAAAACTCCATTAAAATGACAACAAAGGCATGAAAAAGAGTAAATCCACAGGGGCAGAGAGAATAGATAGTAATACAATTTTAGAAGTTGGAAAGCAGATGAGTAAGTGTCAACTGACATAACAGCCCTGAGGAGACCAAAATCTCAGCCTGCAGTGAGAAACAAGAAGCAGCACAGTTATAACTGCAGAACTCAGAAAGGCTTAGGGATTGGCAAAAACAGCTCCCTACTGAGGCAGGCATGAAGGTGGCTGGATTCAGAGGATTGGAATAGATTCTAATTGAGAAGGAATCTGTCCTACTGAGCTTCTTGCACACCCAGTCAATGCAGGTTCCTATTCCTCCCTCATTCTAACAGAAAATAGAAACTCTGAATCTGGAGACACCAGATACAGTGAAGTAAGTGATACTGAAAACAGGATGTTGATATCATTGCTGAGACTCTTCAGATGTTTTACCTTCCTGACACCCAATTCCTTCCGTCCAGGTAGGTCAATAKAAGATTGTCTAGTAGCAAATAAATCCAGCTCAACCAAAAATATCTAAAAATAATTAAAATCTGGAGGTCTAGCCAAAAGTAACTCTCTCAAGACATCCTGCATTGGAAATCATTACTCAATAAATTCCACCCCTATACAAAAACTTCAAATCAATTTAGTTTTGCTATTTTTAAGTGTGAGCTTCCACCATGAATACTGTACAGTAAGAGGGATGCCCACTGAAGCAGCCCAGTGAGGATGAGAGGAGGAGGCCAGGAGTCTCTGAACGAAGGTCTCCARGAAGACAAAATAAATGGGAATACAGATGAGAGCTAATGTATCCAGAGAATATTTACTGTCAGATCAGAATTAGGATTTGAAGAGTTCCTAGACATGTAGAAAAATAAGAAATATAAAGAGAGACAACKATTAGCTGTAAAGGGACCAGAACTTGTGTTAGAAGGTAGGTAATGGTACAATATGGGTGATATTTATATAATCATAATATAAATGATGATTATTGACTTAAAAGTAAAAAACGATATTTTTAGGATAAAYGGGGGAGGGGCCAAAGCCCAAGGTCATGCTTGTGGAGTCTTATGAAAGGTAAATCCATGTTTTTCTGAGTGGTAAGTCAATATAATGGAAAATACTGAAAAATGATGAGATAACCCAAAAATGTTGAAAGATAGGAGGTAAATATAAAAAATAGGTGACAAAAGGTATTAAAAGCAATTAAGTGTTTTCCCTGGGGAGACAATTAAAGGATAGGAGACACAGGAAAGGGTAGGGGAAGGTGGCATTTTTATAAATCAAGCCTCATGAAAATATTTGACTAAATAAACTATATTCATTTATAAGTTTGAAAAAAAAACAAAATAAAAAAAGAGAGAAAACAGCTGTGGTAATGCAAAATGAAGAAAACTACACAAATACTTAGTAAAAAGAGAAAAAAACTAAATGGTTCTTAAGCAAACATTTAAAAAATAATCAACTGAAATATTTTTACAGAGTCAGAAAAAGAAATACACAATGGAATGACTCTATGAGGCAGCCAATAATGTTTCCGAACACAGTCTTATATTTTTCAAAACTTTTATTAAGGAAAATAATTGCTGAAAGTTTTCCCAGAATTTAATTTGACAGGACTGCAGGGGGTGCAGAGCCCAATGATCCTGGCAGGCAGGCTCCAGGAGGCAGAGCATAAAATGAGAAAATATGTTTCAAAAGTGTTTCCTTAATTTATTATCTGGAAAACCACGAGGCTGAAAAAATGATATTTAGCTTAGGCCTGTGGCAGCCTTAGAAGTCATGGCTTTGAAGAAAACAATAATAAAGATTTAAGCTTAGAATCAGTTTTGTTATATAAGCACAGCTCTAGTCTTATAATTTAGTAACTCTTTTCTGTGGATATATGACAGTGCGTTTGGACCATAGTGTAGTTCAYGGCTCCCTGGCCATTTTCATGTCATACTTCCATGACTGGCTATATAATTTGCAGGGCCACAAGCAAAATGACAATGTGGGATGGCCCGTTGCAAAAATATGAAGAAATTCAGTATGGCTGTAGCAGAACACTGAAACAAATGTGAGGCCCTCCTGAGTGGGAGCTCTGAGAGACGGCACAGGTCTCATGCTCAGGAAGCAGGCCATGAATGGTCTACTTAGAAGACGACCGTGGTCACAGAACCTGCTGGGACAAAGTGAAGGGGATCCACACACCTCCAAGAGGGTGCTGACAGGCAAAGTGACCAACCCCTGCACACAAACTGCCATCACTTTTACCAATTTTTATTATACATAGGACAGTGAAAYGGTATTTATGTGTATCAGTTATTTTGAAATTTTGATGGGTGTTGGATCCTAACAGGTTTCCCATACAAAATAAAATTTCTTAAGTTTCTGTATGCTTTACCAGTTCAAATGCTTAATTTTAGCTTGTCATTCAAGGTCCTYTGCAATATTAAACTTTATCTTTCCAGTATTATTTCCTGTCATTCTTCCTCATATGTCTTCCGTAAAAGCTTGATCTATCCCCTACATGTTCTGTGATTTTTATCTTCATATTTTTACTTAAGCGTTTCCTGTCACTTTACTTGTTCTTCTCACCCACTACACAAATCTGAAGTGCACAGTGCTTCCTTCAAAACCCAACTCAAAAGTCACCTTCCACGTGAAGTTTTCACTGATACCTTGGGTTCTATGTGATACACCTGCACCGTTTTGGCAATACTTGCCTTTTTCAATTATCATTATTGCTATACAAGAAACACTTCATCTTTTTTTTCCACTAAATTCTAATTTTCTTGAAGAAAAAAACCAATTCATCCATATCATTATATGATACATAGCACCTAGCACATTGTCAGAAACACATCAGTAGATCAATAATTAGTGAAATAGAAATAATCACAATTATTTGAAAAATAAATGCTTATTTTACTGATTTTTTTGAATGTCTATAACATTGAGCAAGAGCCCAACTGAAGACCAATTTATAGTTCTCTACTTGCTATATACTTATGACTTCTCCAGAGCTGACTGTTCCCTTCTCCCAGCAGTCACATCAAACAGACTTTCCAGATCCATCTATCCCCATCAACCCAATGATTAACCTTGTTCTAACAATACCTGTTATAGTGAGTAGTTTTTCAATAAATAAAATCATCTTTGAGWTATATTTATCTGCTACTAAAAAATCAATATCTCTATTCCATTTTTCACCAGATTGCTCTACTAAGCATATAAAACAAAATATTTAAAAGTTAAATATGAGTGAAACCTAAGCCATAATTGCACATCCCCAAATCTTTGATTTTTTGTGCTGCATGACTAATAGACTTGCATTAGTTTTGAAATTCCTGAAGTAAGTGGTTCATTAATTTTTCACCTTCACCTTAATGGAAATTTGACAAACAGTTCACTTCTGAGAGCAGATACTAAAAGCAGAACTTAACAAGACACTAAGATTAAATTATAGACAAAAGTTGCTTTTTTCAAAAACCCAACTATTGAAGAAAAGCTGAGAGAATTTCATTTTCTTACATTATATTAAAAGACTTTAAGTAAAACCAAACACATATCACATTTTATTCAGTTATATTTTAAAACACATTTATGAACATTAAATGTGATATGAAAATTAAGTAGAGTATGTTCCGTGATACTAAAAGTACTATATAGAAAAACTGTAATATTACATTTTAGCTCTCTAGCTTTTAGATGCAAGCATTTGTGTCATGTTCTGTGCATTGTTTATGTTCCATACTGATGACATCAATTTTTATTTTAATAGGTATCTAAGTCTCTATGCATTCTTTGTAATCTAAAGATTCAAACGTATCCATTCCATCAATAGTTCAATCTCACACATACACACAAATATTCAACCACACACATACAGTATAATGAAGATTTGAATATACAGAACTTAAGTCCAACTCCAACACTGAATCACAGTTAGAAATGCAACAAATAATTGATTTCRCTATTTGTATATTGTCACCCCATCTACTATTCCTGAACTATCAAGGTGACCCCAAACGGTCTTCATTTTGCTGACTTACTGAAATAAAGCACACTATTTGCTCAGACATCCAGAGTCTGAATTATAGTGAGTGACATTTAGAAGAAATGAGGTTAAATAAGTAAATATTATCTATCTGTACATATTTAATAGGTTTCACCTTATTCTTTTCATGCTGTTGATATCCATTCATTCAATCACATTGGTTAGGTATAATGAAAACATGAGCCCAGTGTAGCAGTGCATACCTATAACCTTAGCTACTCCAGAGGCAAGAGGATCACCAAGTTCCAGGCCAGCGTCAGTAACTTAGCAAGACCCTGTGTCTCAAAATAATAATTAAAAAAAATGGGGGAAAGAGAGGGCCAGAACAAAACTCATGGTAGAGTGCTTTCCCAGCATGCATGAGGCCCTGGATTCAAGCCCCAGTTCAGGAGAAATAAAGAAAAAAAAGGAAGAGAGGGAAGAAAAACGTGTGTGTGAGAGAGACAAAAAACCCCAATTAAAAAGTCAGTGTATGCAACCAGTGCCAATTATACAAGCAGAAATCTCAGACATTGGGAACCTCAAGATTGAGATGCTAAGAGGTTCTAAGGTAAAGAAGATGCTGGTTCAGTAAAAGAGGGGCCTTGTGTSGATGGGTGATGACAATGTACCACAGTTAGAAGAACAGCAGAGCTTCTGACTTTAGGAGCATGACTCAACCCTCTGCACTTGATATCCCCACCCCTCCTCATGTG